ACAAAACGCACAGCAGAACCAGACCCTGGAGCGCCGGCCTCTTTATTTACTTACTCCTCTTCATCCCCTATGGGGTAATAAGGCTGAGATGAGAACCCTCCATCGTATTTAGTCCTTAGCAATATGCTGCGCCTCTCCCCATGTAGGGATGTGTACCGAGCCCCGGTATTAAATGCCCTCCGCCCGGGCCGGATTTATTAAAGACAGTGGTAACGTTAAGCTCCGACGTTATCTGACTTTTTATCGGTACTGGAGACATTTAAAAAATATATGTCATATGTATTATTGCTACATAAACATTATATCGCAGTTTTAGTTTAGCCAACTCCGTTTCTAATATGCAATAAGACTACAACATGCGTCTATGATGTATTTTCGAGCTTTCCAATCCAGACGAGATCTCTCTCTCCCGTCTGTGTGCGAGGGGGCGGGGCAGTTTGTAAAGGTCTCCTGACTGTGTTACAGACTGTCATCCTGGTTAGTGGTTACTCTGGGTTCTGTCTTCAGGACAGAGTGTTGTGTTGAGTAATTTTCTCGTTTGTGTGTTTGTTTAAATATATTTGGCCTTTGTTCATGTGATTGACTGATTTACTCAAATAAAAAGGTTGATGAATTAACATCTAATGATTTGTATGATGTTTTATTTATGTTAAAGGTCACTTTGAATGATTTTAACTAATGATAATGTAGAAAAACTCATATTTTAAATTTGGGACGTCCACATTAATTTCGGGACGGCTTAGATTGTATTTCGGGACGGTTCCGGGAGGATGGTGAAAAAAGTTAGTCGAGAGCCCTGGTTATAATGTCATGAAAATAAGTTGCATTGTCTTCGATTCTGCTGACAATTAGAAGCATCTGCTGACTAAGTCTGTTGCCAGTTCCTGGGTTTTGTATAATGGATGGGACACTCCTCTTAGCGGCCACAGAATTGCTTCTCACATAGGATAGAGAATGCCTGTTTTAATTAGTACCACTTGGCCTCGTCTCCTTGTTGTCAAGCCCTCATCTGGCACTGGGGAAAATCTTGTGATTGCTGTGCGTTTGTACATTGTGTGTAGGTGACGATCCAAATAAGATGACAAAGCAATCCCTGGGTAACATCATGAAGATGTGAAGAAGGACATTGTCAAGCTAGCATGCTTAGAAAAACATGAGTCATTGTTCAGGGCTCAGTGAGACACATGACTACTTTGTATCGATGGTACTAAAACATGCCGAGATGCCCACAAATGCATACACTAGATTTTGAAGCACTTTCAAAATAATTGACCAGCAAGAACATTTAAATTTGGCATCTAGCGTTGACCCTTTACAAACAAGGGTTGTTAAGATTTTAAACAACCCTTCAAATGTTTTTAACAGGCCTTGTATTTGCTCAAGAGAAGGAATTGGACTTCGGCCAATGACAAAGGTTAATAACTGAGGGGAGGAAAGCAACCCTTGAGAGGAGGACCCCATAAAAAGGTTCAAGTTATTTGTTGACCAACGGCTGCATTCCCCATCAATGCCTTGTGCCGGCAGCCTGGGCTATCCATGGTGCATTGTTATTCCTTGGCACGCTAGCCAAGTGTCAATCATTTGAATAGGGAAAGGCTAATGGGTCAGCAAACACTGGGGCTCATCTCCAACATTATTGGGAAAGCTAGAATGTGAGTTCATTCAAAATGAGAAAACTCAGCCAATTTAGCAGGAACAGAGATGATTAGCCCAGCGGCCATGATGCAAGCATTACAACTACATGCTTTGTTTGGGTTGTTGCAGCACCACAGTCCTCAATCATTTAACACTCTGACAATGAATTTCATGTCAGAGTGGACTGAGCTGCCAGTAGCTGCGTACTGATTTTTGGGGCTGAGGTGTGTTGAACAGAGCTGGTGACAGGGAGAAACAGACTGACGCTCTTACCTCTGTGGCCCCGTGCATTCTTCACCACCACGGGGTAGCCGAGTGGCTCTGCCTCGTCAATCATCTTTCGGAAGTTGTCATGCCCTCCTGGTAAATGCCCATGCACACAAACACAGAAACATGAAGCCAATCAGAGGGGTGAAATATATATAAAAAAAGCTCTTGTTTTGATAGCATGGTTCACACATTACCGCCATCTGAACAGGGTGGGGGGAGGGAATGTAGCCTGTCGCTATGGCAACAGAAGTGACTCAATAAAGCAAGGCTGTAGGAGTGCTGTCCTGAGCTTATACTTATTTTGCTGCTTGATTCATGAGATTGGAACAAAGCGGTCACAGAGGGATGCATTAATGTGAAACAGCTGACCATATCTCACGGTGACCGAGAGAGGCAGCTTGCAGCAGCAGATGTGATCCAGCTTTCTCTACTTCGGCTCAAGAAGTGATTGAAAAATGTGTACGAATCCATTTCCACTCCTCTCCCTCTCTCGATCATTGTTTGCCTGTCTGTTCTTATCTGGCATTCGGTCAACGGAACAGATGTGAACTGCTCTGACACACGGCTGTTTCCCCATGCGCTGATTCACATGTGTTTTCAGTGAGCGGGAGAAACAGCAGAGGAAACAGAGGGAGTGGATAGCAAATGTGGGAACAGCCACGTCATTGGCTGCAGAGGTAGCAGGAGGGAGGCGATGGCATGTTTTATTTTGAAAAACCGTGGGGTGGGGCGATTAGAAGGGGGGTAACATAGGCTTTCCAGCCGCTCTGCATGCATCGCCTGGCCCACTGTGCAGAGACGAATGGAATGTAGGCCAAACACCCCCTCCTCTTTCTTTCTGTTTCTGACTGTATCCTTCTCTGTCTGCTCTCACAAACACCACAGCACTGGGGATTTTTGGAAAGTAGAAACTACAACAAATGAAAACAGCAGTCTGGCTCATGTTGCCTCCCTTAATGTCTTTAGGTTGTGTCAGAGAAACTGTGAAAATTATCAGTGTGGTTTAATGGCTATAGTGGTTTGACCAGATATGTAAATGTAATCTTCTCTCTGTTGTTTGAGTCATTGCAGCAGAATAATGAGCTACTGATGGTTTATTAATCCTTTTATACAGACTAAAGCCTGTGATGCAACTAATGTGATTGAAATGTCAGAAAAACAACATACGTGACACAGCAGTGCTGCTGTTTATGCTCATATCTATTTCATTAAGGAAGATGCCGTTATGTTACCTTACAACTTGTTTATCGGTACTAACAGAGAATATCTATTGGTATATTATAACAACAACTAGTGATACATTTCATAATGAATTCATCTGCAGAATATTTAACACTTTATGTACTCTGCTAAGGCAATAGCAGTCTGCATTCTAAAGCACTGAACACCAAGGGCCCTACATCAGGTGAAATGCAGTGTGGACTCTTGGAAGTGGAAGCATTAATAAAGCTAGATGCGTCCACATTCATTAACTGACTGCAGTGATGCTGTCCACAGGGACGTGGCTTGGAAGGTAGCCGCATCAAGTCCAAATACAGAGTGTGGACTGGAAGCTGAAGAGGTGACAGGTTAACCCCCGGGCCTTCCTGATGTGCCCTAGAGCAAGGCACCAAACCTATCCTGCTAAGACCCATCATCCTGACTATCACTTCAAATTGATGCCTTGCCTGTTTGTGTGTCTTTGTTAATTAGGTAAAATTACATTTAAAAAAATGAATTTCCCAAAGGAGGCGTATAGAGTACATTCTTATTTGTATTACTGCCTCAGATATTTCAGTCACTGCTCATACAATGACCCTTCTTCTCTGGTGACCTATAACAACACATGTGAATGCTGTGAATGGAGATCTGATTGCTCAGGACACATCCAGAGGTGGTCTGCGCCACCTGTGGACTTTTTTTTGTTTGTTGTGGGTGCAGTAATGCATCATGGGCCACATTAAAGAACTGTCTAATCAACCAATATCCTTTGCTTAATGCAGAGTAAGTGATCAGTCACTGGCTTTGACCAATAAGGTCTTTGCTATGGATAGCTTGGTGTATTCAAGCAGTTTCTGTATTAAACATTAGTATTTTGAACGTTCTCATGTCACAGAAACCACCAAGAGTGAGTGTTGTGTTTGGATGTTGTTATCATACTGCCAGTGTTTTTGTTCCGGTGCTCTGCACAGATCTGAGGACCGACCACCTGCTCTTATCCTCGGCTCTCTGGAGCTTTGTGCGTCTCGGTTACCGCTGTTGGGTGGAGAACAGCGCACCAATAGGCAGACAAAGACTGTTGTGGCGCTTTTAAATTAGTCATTGCAGGTTTTTGTATTGTCAATGCATGTCATTTAGGTGAGTGTGAGAACTGAAATGTATACACACATAGAAAACTAATAACAAAACGTTTTTTCATTGAAAAATGTGTTTTGTTGATATATGAAAACAAAAATGATGCCACTCAAGATACTTTCCAATACCAGCTGTAAACTGATTTACTTAGAGATGACCACTCGTGTTTGGATCAACGAAGACGCATGTCAATGCCAGGTCTGAACAGAGACTTGGTTACAACAGCACAGTGCTACCACAACACACCAACACTGTGAAAAAAAGATGACAACTATTGATTTACCGTAAGAGAAGGTGTCAGGAAGAGGCACTCCGTGGCCGGCTAGCTCCTGAAAGGTCCAGAACTTGTTGACACAGTTAAGTATAGCCTGGGGACGGTTGATCAGCCGACAGCCCATCTTCTCCAGGTGGCGCAGCACAGTGATGTCACTATCTGACTGCACCCAGGGCGTGGGCACCCGCACCACCACCACCTGTGGATAAGATGTCACTAGTTCCTGCTCCACTCGCAGACCTAGAGGCAGGAGGGGTAGAAGAAAGATTACTATAGTGAAACAAAAATTCAAATGTGTGGAGCTCCAAATAACAAAACAACTTTAGATCCTGATAAATATAGTGAGTTCTTCAGAGTAGTTTCCTCTGAGGATATGAATAGCACTTAGATTACAAGTTTCCATGCTGAATGACAAAGATCAAGAAGATGGATTTTTGGTTGAAAAGAATAAGCATAACACCTTAAAACACTGACAAGAAGTACAAACCAGACACTATCTTTTAAAACGTTTTTTTTCTGACCAACCAAAACAACTTTTTAGAGCAATAAAAAGAGCAATACAATTCCAAGCCACTAATAAAGAAACTTTCTCACATCAATACTGTTTCTTGCACTCAAGGACCCACAGCCACGTTAAAAAGCAACATGTCATAGTTTATAGCTTCCATTATATCCTTAAGGTCATGTTTACAGGAGCTGGAAACATTGTGAAATGGGTTGCTGGGATTTAGAAAACACCAACTCCTGCTGGAAAAGTGAACTCATCTCCTTATGGAGACTATTTGTGGACTATGCTCCGATCCTCCTCCCACAGAACACACAGATCTGACTGAGAGTTGGCAGAGTTATAGAGACTAGAAAGAGGCATCCAGTTCCAAGGATGATTGTGTTAAATTATGACTTACAAAACATTGCCAGCTGATACAATTATTTGCATGCTGCAGGCAAAGTCGACTCACAGCACTGCCAGCTCCACTACCTTTTTGGCCAATGTTCTTTGACTGAAAAAGAGATATCCTTGTTTCTGTACTGGCACTGTTGACTGTTTGTCTAAATGTAGGGCAGTGGGTTAGAGAGAGATGCTTTGAACCCCAAGGGTCTTGATGTTAATCACACAGCAAAACACATCAGGGTGGTAACCTGATATGTTACGGTAATCTTGTTTTGTATCCTGTCACAATGCAACATCATTGTCTTTTGGTGACTATTATCTAAAAATAATGGTGTTTGGTTTCATTGAAAGTTAAAATAACATTGGTTTTCAATGTCTCAGCCTGTGGCCACTTTATTATGCAAATGTGAGCAAAGTGAATACAACAGGCTAACAGAGCACATCTGAATAGGTCACTGATCAGCCATTTCAATTCAGCACAGCATGTACAAGCCATTGAAAACAGAGGAGACTTGAAAAAGAAGCCTGTATGGTAGAATGGCAGTATAAACGTGACATACACTAACTCTACTACAAGGCCAAAAGATCAGCTACATTTCAACATTTACTAGCATTGCCGAGTCTGTATCAACAGCCATCTTAATCTGCAGATCAGAACAAGATTCAAGCTGAAAATTGGCTTGATAATTGCCAAACACAGATGGCAAACTCACCAGCCATTGCCATAGCTATAGATTGGCAGCATTTCCCTTGTGAATGGTGTTACTCTTTCCACCATGGATGAGAAAAGGAAACAGAGACAGACTGTGAGATTTTTTTAGCAGGCAACGCGACCCATCAGCTCATCGGGAAGAACTGGGTTGGGTGACAACGAAACCTGTGTGTTTGTGAGGATATGCACGTATTTTAAAGTGTATTGTACAGGGGACGGGAGGAGACGCACTTGTCACTTGCACAGCACTTCACCTCTTCTGTGACCTGATTTTCAGTCATTTTAGAATCTGCAAGCTAACAATAGCGACAGCGTCTCTGCCTGAGATCATCACAGGTCACCAGAAGCTCGGTGGTTGATTAGTAATAAGAACAGACAGCTAGATGTGTTGGCAGATGCACTTTACATCATGCCAACATAACATGTATACACTTTGGGTGTGGCCAACGTTCGCTTTTTAGCTCTTTCTGTGCAGAGACAGGTAGAGGAGGGAACAAAAGAGAGGCAGGATAGGTCAGGGATGTCTTCCAGACTCACCACAGAGGAAGGAAGGGAAGGGAGGGGCAAATGGGCGAATGAAAAAATAAGTATGGAGCCATGAAAAGACTGCCAACCCTCCCTTTTTACTCCTCCTCTTCCTTCTCACAATCTCAGTACAGAAGCAGGAGAATTGACGGTCTCTGCAGCCACACTGCTCTGATTGTGCAGTCACTGAGAGCACTGAGAATGGTATTACAGTGGGAAGTGTCAGGGGATGTGGTCTCATGCTTTTTGACAGACAGTATTCACTGTTCATGGTGCTCGTCTCCATCTCCAGGGGAACCAAACAGAGAGCAATGAGGCAGCCAGATGAATCAGTCCTATTCATTTGAGCAAGTGTTCGTGTGCACTGTACGTCATGTGACCAGTGCGAAAACATTCAGACCCCCTCCTGAACATTTTGCTCTATAACAAAAGCAACATGGGCTTTTTAGTGTCTACACTTGGTGTGGGTGTGACCGTTTGTAGTTGCAATGTTTTCTTCACTTCTACAACAGACAATAATAATGTTCAATGGACTGTATGTGTGAAGAATTCCATTTTAAATATGCCAGACAAAGCAAACGAGCACTAGCATTCTATGCATACCGTTGCAACGTCACAAAGCAGGCAATGCCGACAAACGCTGTGCCAATGTTTGACTGGTGCCCTGAATGCAATCTGTGTCTGGGGATACTGTCTAAATTAGCCTGATGGGGCAGCAAGTTCAGGTTCAACCATGGTTTTTCTGGTTTGATAGGCTTTTGCGAATAATGCCTTTAATGGTCAATTTGCACTAACCTCATCAGGCAAAAACATGTACTGCAGTCCTACTGTGAGCCCAAGCTAAAAGATCTTTTGATAATCAAACACAGAGGCCCTGTTATCCTGGACATCATCTGTTAGTTAGCCTGTGTACTGTTTAGCCGATAGTTAGCATACTTTAATTTAGCATTCACAGTACCTCAACTATCATTAGACAAAAAACTAAAATATCTGTCAGAATAGCATACAAACAGAGATCAACTAAACACATTAAACTGCCACTGAAGCATTTTCTCATTAAATAACATTGACTGTAATGTAAATGATCTTTTATTCTTCTGGTTTGGCCATATGATGGAAACACAATTATAATATGTACTGATAAAAGCTCCGAATGCATGTTTTTGAAGATACCAGCTTTCTTCGATATCACACCTTACAGCATTATGCACTTCAATTCGGAGCACATGCATAATTGCCTGAATCAATATTGCAAGTAACTCGACTCTAGCATATTTGTATATCGTAAAATATTCCTCTATAAGCATAAAATAGAGTAAATTGCTACCAACGCTTAATACAAATAATGTTTGCTATGTGCAGGGTTCCTACACTTTTTCACCAATGATTTTCAATGACTTTTCCATGCCCTTTACCTAATTTTCCATGACCAAAAACATTACTCTTTCTCAGCGGTACCACTGAAAATTGTTTATTTTAACATGGAACAGGAACATAAGGTCTGCAAATGAAACATGTTGTGCCTATCTAAAACAAATCAAATAGTAGGCTTACTAGCTTCTACAGGCCAAAGCAACTAAAATCTCTCACCAGCAAAATACCTCGTCAGTTAAATGCAATTTTACGTTTCATTACTATACGATACAGTATTTATTATCATTATACTATTACTATTTCGGCGATTAGATAAAATATAAATTATATTTGATGCAACTTTAGTTACATTTCCATGACTTTTCCAAAACTTTGGGAAAAATATTGTTTTCCATAACTTTGCCAGGGCCTGGAATTAGCATTTTGAATTTCCATGACTTTTCCAGGTTTTTAATGACCATAAGAACCCTGTATGTGGAATGGAGTAAGTGCTTGGGTGAGGTGACTGAGTGAGTCCATACACTCTCGCCAAGCCTTACCTAATGGCTATTTTTGTATTGTTGCCATAATCATGTGTAGGAAATATTTTGAATCCCCTAGCCACAGCAACTGGTTTGAAAAAAAAACATTAAACAAGGCCATTTTAACTGATGTGTTTTCCAAATGATGCTTGACTGCCAGAGTGACTAGTATACATAGGAAATATTTTTGGCATGATGCCTGCTGTCAGATAGTGGGGTGCCATTTAGGCCATTTGCATGCAGAAGATCCTGATTCTTCAATTATTAACTGTGTGTTTGTGATAACCTTCAGCTTATTTTCACCACATTTTGCAACATCATTTCGCATCAGAAAGTGTGAAGTTGACGTTTTTAAGAGTCCATATGCAGACACTGCTATCTTTGGCTACTGCAACTATGCAAATTACAAAGTCAAGTATGATTAGTATGACCATATATAAAAAGTAAGGCTTGACATTCACAAATTCCCAACAGTTATTAGTGATGGATCCTTTTAGTAGGTTTGTGTTGTTCATCTGCTAATAATGACCGATTTATGGATTAGATTTGTGTTGTGCAACGTTCTTTGGTTTCTACATGCTCTCTTGTTTAGTCATACATCTCTGTGACATGCTAGAATAATATAAAAACAAGCACAGTAGTTGCTTCAGTTGCCTACAGTTACAACAAAAATGTTGTTGATGAGCAGCTGCTCTGACTGGTTTTCAGATCAGTGAGTGCATGCCGACAAGAGTCTGGAGCAGCAGCTTGGGACGTTAACTGGACTCTCTGGCACAAGAACGATTTGAATGCAAATCTAACTTCACTAACAGCTAATGAAGACAGTCAATATGTTCAGGGTTTACCAATCATTCTTGTCCTCACTTGAATTATGAGCTAACTTCATATATCATTTCTTTCTTCCTATATAGAGAAGAAATCAAGTACTGTGAGAACCAAATGAGACCCCCCTGGCTATATGACGAAGCACCCAGGCCACAGGCCCTTTAATCCTCTGGATTATCGGAATAGTATTTTCAGGAAGAACAATAACATTAAACAAAAACAAGTCCAGTGCTTGCCAGTCAGTGTTGCCGTCACTAGAATGTGAGCTCCCTTTATATATTCTTCTTTCTATCTAGAGGAAAAAGCAGGTACTGTGAGCCTCTTTGGCGATACCAATAAAATGCAAATATTTGTGGTCTGTACGTCAGAACCTGCAAATGAGATACTGCTTGCCATTTCATGAGCAAGCTCTTTTCCTCTTGGGGTGTGACATGAGCAAAGGACATGCCCAATTATTATCTCTTATTATAATAAAAATGCATTTGTAAGGTAAACATTTATATAATATAACTTTGAATTTTAAGTGGGTTTCAGGTTATTACTATGATAAAGGCCTATCAAATCTCCCTCATTTATGCCATGAACTCAGTTTTTTAACCACCTGTAAAATAACGCACAACAGCTTGTGAATGTAAATCAGGTAAACAGCCATACTGCTGATCATCATAAAGTTCATTTCTCATCAAAGGGGATCTGTGCTACATAAATAAGTAATAACCAAACAAGTATTGACATTAGAGCTACAGTTTCTCAACCGCATGTAATATTGCTGATACACACTCACATGTCTGGAGGTAAATTAAGATTCGGAATCTTCCTTAGTGCTCCACCTTCTAATTTACTGACACAGGAGCGTTGCATTTATCATCTTCTGGGTATAAGTGTGCCCACTGGCATCTGCAGAGATCACAAAGCATTGCGACAGGCGTTCATATCCAGTCTCTGTTTAAACACCCCTCAGTGCAAATCATGGGATGTGAAATGCCACTAGCTAACTGAATGCTGGGTTTGGCTGTCTTATGTGAGGGGCCATCATTGGTCATTCATTAAAACGTGTGTGTGTGTGTGTGTGTGTGTGTGTGTGTGTGTGTGTGTGTGTGTGTGTGTGTGTGTGTGTGTGTGTGTGTGTGTGTGTGTGTGCACTCATCTCTCCCCCATAGGGACACATTGAACCCATTAACTTCAGTGTGAAACCTGGAACTCATACTGATTTGAGAATGCAGAGCCATTTGAAATAGCAAGCAGTAAGGGTGTTAGCCTATCAGTTTTAGGATTGCATTCTGCCCCTATCATATCCTTAAGCAAATACTCATGTGCAACACCTCAGCTTTAGTTGGTTGAGGTTGTCTAAAGGCATCTTTGAACCAGTTATGGTAGCATATCATTCTTAAGCTTGAAATGCCCTGTATTGATACATATTTCCTGAGTCAAATGTATAGTTTTATTCAAATATAAATGCACTAAAGACAAAGAACCGTGTTGGTAAATAACTATTACCACTTAAAGAGTTTGTGATTTACCTTAAGTATTTTTTCCAATCACAATCACTACATAAGATTAGTGATTGTTTACAACGTTTCTACACTAGAGACATACTCTAGTGTAGAAACGTTGTAAACAATCACTAATCTTATACTGTATGTATGTGAATCCACATTGAGATGTAAAAACCTGGGAGAATATGCATTTAACAAAGGTTGCCATCTTTATCTAGATTAAGACGTTGCAGTTAGTTGGCCAATTCCTGTTTGGATTTTGCCCTCCAACTCTAACGTTGCTGTATTGTAGTTGTAGAGTTGGTAATACAAAAAGCTGAATGTAATGCTAGATGTTCAGGGCAAGTATGCACATGAGCCCAGCCAGTCTGCAGTCTACGGCTCCCTGTGATGCAGGCCTACAGCGTGTCTAATCTGCCTACTGGCTGGTAATCTGTGGTGTCAAGCCAAGGCTCAGAAGATGCATGCAGACTAGGGTCCAGCATGGATTACAGACCCTGCTAAATGCCCTTCTTGACTTGCATGCTAAGCTAAAGATCTAGACAGCCCGCTTCCTATCTGTCTGTGTTGGCTAATATTGTCTAATTTCAGTATATTTGCAAGAAAATGTTTAGCATTTTTTATCACAGAGTAGATTCGTCTTAAAATAAGATTATCTAGCCATGGTAGCAATAACTGCATTGAATTATCATTTGGTAGTTATGAATGACACAAATAGCACCTCTAGGATTTGTTTATGTTCATAAATAGTCCTTTGGCCTTACGTGACAGACAAGCAGTTTGTTAAAACACCTTAAATACTCCATTGTTGGCATTTCAGTTAAACCCATGTTGAGTTCAAAGCTCTGCCATGACTGGTCTGTACAGCTGACCTGATGTAACAGTCTGTGAGGGACGTGCTGCTCAATCTCGCCCCTATCCATCCCACATGCTCTCCCAACTATTCAGCCTCTGCCAGTGGCAGCCTACACCGTTTATGTGTTAATTGCGACCTGCACGCCTCTCATCTGGTGACACCGGCCCCACTTCACACCTTCCTGATAAATTCAATGTGTGTCTGTTTGTTGAGAGTTCCTACTGTTACCACCACATTATCAAGCCCCCCTGAGTCCATACTAGGAAACATTGTCATCTCATAATAAGCAGAACACACATTATGTCTTCTGGACATAGCAATGCCAAAATGACAACACAAATTACATCATGATGTTAGTAGTAGCATAGATAAAGTAAAACAAAAACAGAAAATATGAAAGAGTGAGCTGAAGTTAATGTGTCTTTATACACAAGTGTGCTTTCTGTGGATCTGTCATAGTATTCCTACTAGGCCTTATACTCTAGCATTCATACAGTGTTTTGTTGTATTCAGTCCTGTGTTGTTGATTGTTAGTCTACATCTCGTTGCTACAAATAACAATACAAATCAGATCAAAACAAGTAAGTAATCAATAAATAGCAATAAACAGGTGCAGATTATGGCTCTACAGATGCAATATGTGCTTACTTGTTTCATTTGTTTATTCTGAATACGTTTTAGGGGGGCTTTTGTTTCATATAAGAATACATTCTAAAATAGCCTTTTTGGTTCTGGTTACATCTGGTGTAGTATTATTCATCATAACCTTTAATCAATGAAGAGAACATTAAAGTAATCACCAGACTGGTCTACTGGCGGCCTTTTCTCTAACGTTATGTGAAACATGTGTGGCTTCTTCGGCCTGGCGCCAGGTGACCATATGAAAACCCCACTTTAACACGTAAAATACTCATCGTATTGTTTCAGCTACTATGCTTCTGTAATATGAATATCCCCAGTGCGTTGATGCTTAAGTAAATAATCGACGGCATTGTTGGGATTGTACCGTATTCAGCGAAATGAAATCAAGCATCATCGCTCCCCTCTGGAGGCAGTCTAGCTGGAAAGTGGGTTAGGCGGTCACGTCTGTGGTTACCATCCGCTTCCTTGCTAGCAGGCAGACCGGGCTAGCCCTCTCCCCGCCTCACAGCAGAGAGCTACCCAAACAATACCCGCATGCCACTGACTTTGTGTACATCTGAATTAATTACACTGCACCACTCAGTTTACGAAAACACATCCACTGCTTTGAGTAAGTGTGAGATACTTGCCTAATTGTCCATCGCTGATCGTTAGCACGATTTGATCCATGAGCAGCGAGCGGAATTCAACATCCTCGTCGGAGCAGCGCTCCTTCAGCGCCCGGAGGATCTGGACCTGCGGGTACTCCTGGCTGATCCGCCGGTCGGTCACGAACCAAATCCGAGAGCACATTTTGGATGGGTGGATTCAAAAAAGTTTAAAAAATCCGGCGGAGAACACACAGTTATAGCAGGTGTGTGGCGGCAGAGAGTGACTCGGGGGTCTGGCGGCAGAGCTGCTCACACAATGGAGAGGCTAGCAGCACGAGCAGGTTGCTATGTGGCTAAAAACAGGTCCCCGGCTCAACCGTCGCGCGGACCGATGAATAACAGTCGTTATCACCTTTGTTTCCCCTCATCTGCAGGCGTTAGGTCTTCCCGGGGTGCAGTTAGTGGGCTCCAGAGCGCGAAAAATTCGACACGAGCGAACCGAGAAAAACGGTGTGTTCACCCGCTGAAACGTGTCTCTAACCGATATCCAGCTCGCGGCACGATCTGCCCGCCGGGGCGAACAAAGCACAGGCTGTGCCGCTGTGTGTCGTCCCTCCCCGACTCAGTGCCACCGGTGAAGGTTTCCCGCGATCGCAGCGGCAGTGTGGCGTCGCAAACCGCTCGGTCTTGTGTTTATCACAATAAGCTAACCCTCAGCGTCACCCCCTTCTCCTCCGTTGGCTGCTGTCCACGAGTTTTTGGTGCTGAAAAGTGCACGAGCTTCGTTTACAACTCCATTTCTCCGCGTGCCCGTGCACAATAAACGGGGCTTGCCCCAAAATAAAAGTTTTGGAGGGGCATGGACCAATCACAACTGGGGAACTCACTCGTCGTCCAAACAGCACGCGGGAGATGTGGGTGGGTCGTGCACATCCTGACCAATGAGAGCGTTTCTGCACGGAGCGTGAAGAGGGCGCGGACTGCTGCGCGAATCAGTGCGTGCGTGGAGTCTGCAGTGAGCACGAGACCGCGCACATCCCGAACCGGTTCAGACCAGACGGTGCGAGGAGGTTTGGCGAAAACCGACAGCGCTGTCTCCATGCCGAAGTGGCAGGAAATTAAACAAGGTCATCACAAACTAAAGACACTATCCATCTTCCTTTTTTCTTTCTTCTGCTCTGCACTGATGTCTGAGAGGCGTGTATTCTACCAATGACTTGTATTTCCGCAGAGGCTACGGGTTTAGCACTGCCATCCAGGGAACACTGTGTCTGCGGAGGAGAGGGAAAACACTCCCATGTGATATTGGTGCGAAATGTTTGCGAGTGACCCACTTCCTCTCTCTGTCCCTGCGCCAGCATTGTGGGTGGGGGTTAACCATGGATGTGGAGGGTTATCTCATTCCAATCTAAACACACATATTACACATACACCTATTTTCCGATTCCGATGTCCGAAACATTTCGCTCTTTAAACTTTGGAGTCACGTTTTTAAGTTTATTGCTGTGTTAAAGTACTCCAGTGATAGTTTGATGTGTTTAGCCTACAGAGTGTTGTGTGCCCAGTTTGCAAACAGAAACTGCAAATAATTCATTTGGCATACTTTCAGTGGTGCTTAGTTAAAATGTAGCTAAAGTTAATGTATAGGCTAAATGCACACAGGTTGCTCGGTTTGCTAACTTACTCCATTGTGTCATTATATTTCCTGTTTATATCCCCCAAACCATTATGTGAATTGTAGTTCTAAAACCTTAACTTCATTATCCCCCAGATACAACTAAAATGTCCCATCCAAATGGTTCAAATAGCATAACACTGGCACTCTTCTTGAATGATCTTTTCAAGTGATGACTGCTCTGCTGAAAACTAGTATCCAGATAAAATATACAAACATATACAGTGGCTTTAGGGGGCGCATGAAGATAAACCTGATAAATAATAAAATATCAAACCCCATGTGTGCATAATAAACAAGTTTGTTATGCAACATTTTCATTAAAATAAATATTTATTTTTTCAGTAGCCTATAGTCAATATTGACATGACAATACCCTAATTAGAATACACAGGTCCAAAACCGACAGAGCCAGTCTCCCATAATTCCAAAAGGCCCAAGCACCACATTTTAAACCTCCCTCTTAAAGGTCTGCTTCAAGACCAACCTCTCCTCTTATTGTCATGTTGAAATCTTTAACATTTTGCATTTTGTTTCCATATGAACAGATGCTACCATTTAGCAGCCTACAAGCAAAATACATGACTCTGGCATGACTGTTAAAGTTGAGATGAAGTGTGAAAAGTAATAAGTTACATCATCACTGTCACATTTTCTCATCATGAGGTGAAAAGACATTTCCTCTTAATTAGCTGTGAGGTCACATATGGTTGCATTTTCGAAGACGAGACATGAAAGATGGTTAAATCATTTAACATAAAATCTTTATTTTATTAATACTAGGTAAAACTCAGAGAAGGGTTTACCCCCCCCCCCCCAAAAAAAAAAAACCTACGCTAAGGCGATATTATCTTAGCTTAGAGAGACCTCATGTGGTGGATTCACAGATTACAACCCATGGCCCAAAAGAAGCTCCAAGATGAGTTTTTATTTATTTTTTATTGTGTTTGTCCTTAAAAGAAAAAAGTAATGCAATATACATGTGGAGAAAAACAATAACATTATCAACTTAGAAATGTTGAACATCATGTTGCGTCCTTTGTGTGGTTGTTACGCATGTTGTTTTGAGCAGTCTTCTTGTTTACAGTCTTTCAATTTTATTCAGCCATAATAAAATATCTATGAAGAAAAATGCCAGTACCAGGTGTGGCTGCTTTGCAAATCATCTCATTTTATGACAAATGTTTCCAAATTCGAATACCTCCACCATCCAGAAGAGTGCAGCACTGAGTTGTGGAGCTGGATCCATATGATCCACAGACAAACAGACAGACATCATTTGTGTGACTAATGTAGTGGTGTTACAAGTTTGGAACATCAATTATATTACCAGAATACTTTTCAGAAGTTTACTTTGAGATGTTTTGACAGATGAACTGCATTGAAAAATAAGCAAAACAAATGTTCCCAAATATAATCCTTGGATACAAACCAAGGCCAGACGTTGCAGACATAGACACCAAAGACACAACATATTTTGAGCATGACTAACTTTCACTCCTGCAACTTAAAAAGCCCAAAGTAAAATTTGGCAAAAACATGTTCTGATGTTACTATTTTGTAACATTGGGGGCAACATTTGGGGTAAACAGTAATGCTAATCTTAAAACGTATTTCGAGAGTTTAATGTTTAAATTATTACAAATCCATTGCATTTGAATCAAAATGCCATAATAATCTTGGCTGCACTAAATGGAAATCTAGTTTCCAATACAATGCCAAATAAATATGGTTGTCAATACTCTTTACTCAATATTAGCAGAATAACATTTTCTGAATCATATTAGATATATTTAAGGAATAACATTAGGAAAAACAACATGGCCTTTATCTTACGTTGCCTTATTTGATCTAGTTCTGGTCACTTTGTTCTCCTGCCACCTATTTTCTACGTAACTTTTCTGTCTCTCTGAGCTTCACTCATTTAACCCTGGTTGTTTTTTCCCATAGGCCATAAGCTGGCTAGCTTCCTGGCTGAGCTGACACGACTGAATGGGTTATGGCTAACACAACAGACACAAGACAGAGCCTGCTACTTTTAGTGTGTGCCTATAGATGACGATATTTCCCCAGTAATAGATATTGTTCTCCAATATTTTTCAGGTACAGTCAGAATGAGAGACTGAGGGAAAATAACACAAAGTTGAAGATATTTTCAAACTCTAACAGATTGGGGCTTTCAAAAAGCATTGTCAAGGTAAGAGCCCACAAACAAACACATAGACAATTTATTATTATATATACTTCAACAATAACTCCTATATATGCACTTGACCATGAGTGATGGTTTCCCAACCTTTTGTGATGTCACAAAATCCTGGGTTTTAAAGTAAGAGTTTAAGTGAAGCAGAGACATAAGCCCCCTTCAACAGATACATGTGAAAATATCCTTCTAGTGGCAACATACGAAAACACATCATTCTGCACATTGAAGGTCAAACATCCTTGCTTGTTCCACCCTCATGTCTAACATGCTGATACATATCACTAGAGCTACATCCACTTAACTCACATAGTTAACAACTTATAGCCTAACAAAAACATAAAGGCTGTCTGTAAGGACATCATGAAGAGCTGTAACAGACAAAGCTGTTGTTCAGAAGCAAACTGCATCAGCTCCTGTTTATAAAGGATACCTTTGTTTGCTGAACTTTTGAATTCCTCAGAAATAAGTAGTACATGTTCAACTTTAATAAAGTAAATACCATAAGATTCAGTTGGTCAATAATACAGCAACAGTATGGATCCATACATTGAAAAACACATCCTGAGAAGTGTGATTTGACTTCAAATGCCAAACCAATATCTCTCTTACACACATCTTGAGCTTCAACAACATTAAGCTTAACTTTATATAAGTCATTTGTGTGGGTGTCCGAGTTGTCAGTTGTTCGTCCCAGCCTAAAGTGACTTTGAGTTCTAGAAAAGCTCTTTATTATCAATAAATAAGATCAAAATGACAATAGGAAGATGAGATGAGATACATAAAATATAAAACATAGTGCTATATGCAGATATGAAAAAGAGGATTGTGTGTTAAAGCAACAAGGTGTCCTGACTGATGTCCTGTCAAGGTGGGTGTTCTATGGATTACAAGCCTCTCCATGCGTTCAAATCACAGTCATGCAGCCTAACTGAGAAATACCTCAAGTCTATAGACGGTAGGCCTATATCTCAACCGTAACAGATAATACAACACCTCAATGTGTTGGTGTGTCAGCACAGAATAATACCAAGATGCCAATTAATGCTATTGTTATAATATCAGTGTTATGTTTTAGTCTAGGCCTCAATTCCTTGCCTACAATAATTCATTGTATTTGGACAATGTTCTTTTTTAATCTATTTATTTTTTTATAGTTTTCCTTGTGAAACGGTTAAAAATAACTGCCATGTTTAAATACTTCTAATAGTGACAATGATTAGAGTCTAGATAATGGTGATAGCCTACTCAAAATACATAAACCTGAACACAACAGTATGATAATTATGTCACATTATTCACAATATTAGTTATGCCATTAGCCTATAGATAGGCTTTTTGCTTGACGTATTTATGGCGGGAGTATGTGTGTTCCGGTAGAATCTCATTAGGAAATTGGGAACTATTTAAATGGATGTGATTTCATTTTTCCCATTGTGGTGCATGAATTTATCTTCAACGTGCTCCGGCTGGCTTGGGAAGTAGTTCCGGTGGTGTAGCAGCCGAGCGGAGCACAGAGACCCGGGATCTCCGCCGTGTTGAGCGCAAATGCGAATTGCACGAAGAGTCTGCCCGTCATGACTGTCGACTGACCACAGCAGCGGTCAGTGTGACGGCCCTGAGCACCGTGCATGCTGCCCGGTGACAGCGCCCAGGCACCGCCGGAGCTTTTGTCATCGAGTGGGATTTTCAAGTGCAGAATAAAAGGCGTCTGGAGCTTCTGAGACACAGTAGACCACATTGAGCCGGTTCACATTCACCTACGACGGTGAGTAGTCTGTCCACAAGAATTTTTGAATGTCAGTCGTGAATGTTGGTGACATTATCGTGGTTTACCTGGAAATAAGTGTTGCTAAAGCCCAGTGCTTTGACTTAATGGCAGGCTATGACAAGTTCGCTGCCTGTCACAGTATGCATGCATTCAGACACCGGAGCATTTGTCTTTATCCTTAATGTCGGTCAGATAAAGTCAACTTATTTTAAGTTTTCCATTCAGACGGTGAGGCTGTCGGTTAACAGGCTGTGGAGAAAGCGGTGTTTAACAGATCATATCGGAGTGGTGAATTGTGTTGGACGATGGGAAGGACAGTGGCTTGCACAGCTGAAAACACTTTAGAAGTGATAACAGTGGAAGATTAGAGCCTGACCGAGAAACAACCAAGCTCAAAGAGTCTGTATTGGTGACAACGTTACAGTATGTAGAGGCAAAATGCTTGTATTGAATCAGCTACACAATTGAAAACAAATGAACTCGATGGTTTTAAGGAAAGTAGTAACAGAAGGGAGAATAAGTCAGACAGTATTTGCTTCAGGCATTCATTGAAGATATACCAACTTTGTTTCACAGCATAACATCTTCCATATAGATACATTTGAGTTGCTTTCTTTTTTGTGTAGATTTTTTGCACAGTATTTAATTTGAAATCACT